ACGTTGGGCTAACTGTCTTTGTTTTTCTTGGATAATAGGAGCGTCGAAATGACTTTCTGCAGCAAGCGTGTCAGCCTGGACTTTGAATGTATCTATACGTTCACAATGAGTAGCTACATCAGATTCAAGCAAGTTGTACCGCTTTTGTACGTTCATCACACCGTTTAGATCACGAACGACATCCTCTGAGGCTATCTGAGCTTCAACATCATTCAACCATAACTCGATATCTTCTGTGTTGCGAGCGAACTGTTGTTGCCTACTTGCTTGATCTAAATCTTTCTTCTTGTCTCCCATGGCATTTACGAGATGAGACCAAGTTTCATCCAACTGTTCAATCTTTACTTTTATTTCTGGCGAGTTGTAGTGGTTTGCATTTAACAAATCCTGACCTGTCTTTTTAATATCTTCAACGCGGGGTTGGTTCGCTTGTATTTCTGCCTCAAAACTCTGATGCTTCTGCACCTTTGTTTGCAAATTCGTGGAGTCTTTGTAACTTTCATCAACTGCATTTCATCTGCATCTCTATCGAACATTTGGTAACGGTGGGAATCTTCAAGACGCTGACGGCGGTTCTGAGCTTTCTCCTTTAATGCATTTCGTCTATTTTGAAGACCTTCCTGAATCTCATCAACCTGTGCAGCCGCATAGTGGTTTGATTCAATTAATTTTGCAGCGAATTCATCAAGTTGTCGCATCTTTTCTTCTTGTGCTAGAAGCGACTTTTCGAAGTCTTAATGTTTCCTTATGAGTGCTTCCACAGAATCGAGTGAGTCTCCCACATCTTTTATTTCTAGGAAGGCCTGTTGCTTACCAATCCAAGATTCCGACTGTTCAGCGTCGCGGTAAAAATACAGAAGGCCCATACACTGTTCTAGCTGTTCACGTCTTTCTTCACACAACTGCATCAGGGAGGCTCTCCCTCTTTCAAGGGTGGAAAGTTTAGCAGCTATGTCTCCACTACAGGGATGGCCAACTCTTTGTAATGCCTGACCTTCTTGCATGCATGTATCGAAACTGTCAGCTTGAGAATTTATCTCAGCGGTATATTCCTTATGTCGCTCTACTTGGGCTTCAGCACCAGCTACATCCTTTGCCAAATCATCCGCCGATATTAACGTCTTCATGTCATTCATCCAGATGCTCAAGTCTCTCCAGTCAGCCAAAAAGCGATGCATCTTGAATGACTCTTCCAGTTTGCCTTCTCCTACCTACAGCCTGACTTTTCAGCTTATCCCATGCAGTGATTAAGGCGTCATACTTGCCTTGTATAGTGTTTTGCGAATCAGGATGCTTCTGTGCAAGCGCCTTAGCATCATCTCCAAGTTGAACAATCTTTTTATCTGGGGCAGTCAAATCCCTTTCTAATGCTTCGTGCTTCCTTTGTAAGGCTTGGACTGAGGCAAGATCACGACCACAGTCCTCAATGGATAAAGGAATGAACTTTTCATTCACCAACGATATAGCTCTATCTATGTCTCTAAAGAAGCGCTGTATCTCATAGGCTTTTCTTGTCGTTTTCTAGCCAGATCCTTCAGACGTTCTATAGCTTCGCGGACTTGTCTGAACTTTTCTATGACTAGGGCATCCTCAGGAAATTTCTCTTTTAGAAGTTCATCTGCCTTCCGATAGATGTCTTCTGCACGACTTTCTTGATTCTCGAGATCTTTTGTAAACTCATTAAACCCTTTTTGAAGTGTCTCAACATGTTACAAGTCTTGACCTAAATCCTCTGATGTTACGTAAGTTTCTTTTTCACGTATCCAGAAAAGTATCTCCTCGACTTGGCGTAAAAACTGGACAAATTTAAGCGTTAGGTTAATAAGACGTAATTTTTCTCTGAAAATAGCCATAAGCCTTTCCCACAGGGCATGCAGTTCATCAAGACGGTTTTTGATAATATCTGTTGCGTAGTGTCCCTGACCAATCATTTCTTCTCCTGCAGAATCCAGAGCTGACAGTGTTTCAGCATGAACTGTTACTTCGAACTCAAACTCCTGATGTTTCTGGTTTTTCAGATGAAGATTACTGAGTTCTTTAAAATCCTCATTTGCATATGTTTGCAGTTTTTTATTGATCCAACACTCAAGTTCATCGGCATCCTTCTTAAAATATTGATATCTTTCAAGCATGTCCATAAACTTAGATATGGCTATGGTGAACTCACCGTTAAGAGATACAGTGACTTTATGGGAAGTAGAAGGCGATTTATTGTGACCAGAACATTCGCGACTACCTTGTCGTAATCTTTCTAATTCCATTTCTTTCTCTTTTTGGACTATGCGCAATTTCGCTAGCTCCAATTCTACCATACGGTGTGATTTATTCTTTTCGCCTCCAGGGAAATCAGCTTCATTACTCTTTTCTAACTGTGGAGTTAACGACGGCATAGTTTCATAACTTTCGTCTGCCATACTGTTCGAAACTTTGTAGGATTATTTTTGTCCTACAGATTTAGTCCTTTCTCAATATTTATATTTTTTTAATATTTTTGGTTACAGCTTGATGCCACCTTGTATTTTCAGTACAAGTATGGCATTTTCAGCATGGATATCGGTAGCCCAAATTTTGCAGACCGACCATAGATATCGGGTGTGCGTCAGCAGGGGATCGAACCTCGGATCATGTGCATGGTCGGCGAGAGTGCTAACCACTGTGCCACCGACGCACACTGTAATACTGACGACACAGAGTCTTGGCTTAGCCATAGTTAAAACAGAATGACTTGACTTAAACTTTATCTGTTTCTAAAACATAAAATAAATCATACAATTACACCAAGTAAATGTACAAATCCACTGTCATTCAAAAAAGGACAAAAGCGTACCGAACAGTATTGAAGGAACGGACAAATGAACAGTTAATTAATTACATGTACATACAAATAAAGTGACAGACAACAAAGAACATTCAAGGTCACATCACGTGGTGAGAGTTACAATAAATTGACCAATAATCGCGACAAGAAGGTCACATCATATTGATTAGCTGTCTATCACATAGTCCAGAAAAGCGATATAGGCAGATTTCGATTGGCTGTTGGCTAGCTGGCTTCTTATTGGTCTAAAATATAAGTTAAAATGGCAGTCTCTTTATTTTGACACGGAAAGTTACAGTCAGTTTAAAGTCAGTCTTAACTTACCATAATATAACGGCGTGTTAATTTTTTTGGTGTGAGTGTAGTGTGATAGTCACATGCTATTTGGATGCATTTGTAGTATTTAAAGTACATTGAGATATATGGGAATGTCTAGTAAGTGAATATAAGTTAACAATAATTTTGATGCATTCATTTTAAGTCCAAAATAGGATGTATGCATTTTTTGTTACTATGGGAATAGAATTAAATAAAAATTGCTAAACGTATGTGTCTAATTTTGGACATGTAGATATATGTATGTATTAAGTGATCTACTTTTTTAAGTTTTCAGTTTAGTGACCTGTGGGAATTGCACATACTAGGTCAACATAAATAAAGTAAATTTCCTATGTCACAAAAGTGGTATATAAGCAATGAAATGCATACAACTGTTGATTTACTTGAAATCATTGTGTTGTGCACGTTAGGAATTGTTAGAACCATTAAATGATGTTGCAAAGTACTCCTACTGCGTCTACTTCACGGAATGTGTCATCTATATTGTGTGATGTAACAGCTACATTCCAAAGGATAATGCTTTGCTGTGTATTTATACATGGATGCAATTTAAGGAAGCTTTAGATGCATTTATGAAGGTACTAACTAGGTTGTTCATTATTTCTTTGAAAGGAATCCAACACATGGTATCGGGTTGATTCCAGTAAAAAGGATCCATCCGGTCCTATGGAATACGAGCATTTGACGTTTAAATGCACTTTTGCAAGTAAACGTGCTTCCCGAGGTGCTGGCTTTAGGAACAGAGGGTAAGTTTACTGTCTATGTAAATTTTAACAATTTCAAGGTTCAAAAGTACTTCATGTCAATCAGTAATTACAGTACGGCGCAAATCCAACATATACAGGATAACAAAGTACCAAACTGTGCATAACCATCCATGCACAGCAAGTTTCATGTCCATTGATGTATCTAGACGTCGGTTATCACCACAAGAAATGGCAGTTATACAACCGTTCATTGAAAGGAATACTGATGTCCATGAAGTAATGGATTTAGCGCATGATAAATTTGGCAAAGCCCTGCTGTATGATGATATTAAAAACATGCGGGCTAGGATGTATAAACGTAAGTCGTATGAAAATAAATGGTGCAGTAGAATAGAAATCGGCAGTTTGGAAGACCTGCTTCATCGACTAAGACAGACAGGTGCAGTTAGTGTTCTGCATGACAACGCAGGCTTTGTATCTAAAATTATTTTCGCTCGCAATGATATGATAGACTTGTATCATAAGTTTCCAGAAGTAGTTGGAATTGATTGTACCTATAAAACGAATAAGATGGGGTAAGTTGCAGAACAAGAAGGGGTAAATCCTTCTCCTAATTTATTACAGATGGCCTTTATATCAGTTTGTTGTGACTGATGGATTCGGAAGAGGAAGGACTGTTTTGTTTGCTCTGACTAGGAGAGAAAAGTTTGCAGATATCAAGGAGATATTGCAGACATTTAAGAGATTTATGACTGATACATCAAAAACACTAACATTCACTGTCGACTGTGCAACTGCACAGATTAACGCTTTAAAGGAGGAATTCCCTAGGTGCAGTATTGTTTTATGTCTTTTCCATGTATGCCAGGCATTCCGAAGGAAGGTAAGCTGCATTCCCATTAACTACCTTAGCGAGAACAGTTCCCAAATAAACTTGTTAAAAAGTGGTTGTATCGAATGGCGCACACGCGCAGTTACAACAGGTAGGTTAACAAATCGGAATTTATTGCCAAAGGTTTTGGACTTATCTAAATATCATTAGTGTTATAGACGCTGAGGCTGGTGCTTACATTAGAGGGTACTGGCTAAGAACAAGGAAATATTGGGCTGCATCGTGCAACCGGTTCGCCATCACCATGGGGAACAACACTAACAACAGAGTTGAGAATGCTCACAGGCAGCTGAAGAGATATTTACGTAAAGGGGATCCGCTGGAACTGACTTTATGGAAAATATGGAAGTGGATTGACCACACAACGATGCGTAAAATACGTCAGGGCCAGTGGATGCTTTGTAAATACTACAATTACGATGTAAGTTTGAAGATAATTTACGATTTTTCCTAGGTACATACTTCCCTGCAGCCCATATTACGGCGTCTCACACCCTTTGCTGCCAAGAAAGTTTTCTTAGACTTGCAAAGGCGATCCTTCTTCTTTCATTCAATATCTTCCACTTCAGTTAATTACGCAGAAGGTGGTCACATGTTCTTCGTAAACAGGGATGAGGCGAAATGCACGTGTTGGACATACTGTGCATACAATTTGCCATGTGCTCATGTCGTTGAGGCTTTCTTAAATTCATATTTAACCTGTGGTAAGTTCTATTTCCTTAATTGTTACTCTTAGATATTCTGAGAAATAGTGACAGGTGGACACGTCAGTATAACACCACGGAGGACATTCCACGAGCCATCCGCCTAACACCGGAACCGAACAACGCGTTCAGAAATGCTTATGAACGTTTAAGACGTCGTCTCAACATTCTGAACCAAAGAAATCCGGATGCTGCACTGCGGGAAGTAGCAGAGTTCACAAGAAGGTTGGACACTTTGCTAGCAAATGAACCGCAAACAACTTTGAGATTACGACGTGCCCCTGTTAATCGATCATTTTTGTGAAAATATTTGCATTACCTTATTGTTTCCATTTGTATTCACAATATAAACATCTATGTCTAAACTGTGTTACACTTCCTTTCCCTTCAAATGCCTGAGAGCGACAGTTTAAAGCATACTTTGGTTGATTGTTTCCTGATGAGAGCGCTTGGCAAGTCAGTTACAAATTACACCGATCTGTGCCTTATGTAATGCGTCTTATCAGCCGAAGATTTCTAGTTCATAGCATATCGCGAGTAACGGTGACTAATACGATTTATTGCCTACACCGTAATCACCCCAGGCTTACAACAATTCTAAACTTATTCTAACCTATTCTTCGATAATGCTTATTAAGAAGAACAAGGTGATGAATTACAGCCGGTCATGCGGATAAAACAATCCCACAGTTCTGGTTCAATCACATTATCAAACAATGGCAAACCAGTTAGGGAGTTCATTTATTAAGTAGTGTTACTATACTATCATAGTGCACGTGAATAAGCTCAATGATTGCAGGTTTTACCATAATCCTTAACTACCAACATAATAAGTGGGAACTTCTGCCTAAAAACAACCTTACTAGTAGCATCCAGTGACAAAAAACTCACCTACATACTCAAAAACAACCAAAACGTTCAAAAAAACCTTTAAAATTCAATGGAAAACGAATTCACGAAAACATATAACCAGTAGACGCAGGAACCCATCATGACCTTGAAACTGACTATAGCGTCTTTCCATAGTCCATCTATCTGTCGTGATTAACAATATGTTCATAAGGCCAAGTTAAAATTTAGACACCAGTCACTTCCAATCAGCGAACGACGTCAAATTATCCAATGAGATTCACGAATGTAGTTCAATGATGTATAGCGCCTGATTCATTTCAATGCGTGCCCTTACAAGGTTACGTTTGCAAATCTAGGAGGATAGTGTCTTTCAGTATTGCTTGGACTTAGGCTTGCTTCGAAAGGAGAGGGAGGTATCATGACCTTAAAAAGCTATATTAGGTCAATTGATGGATTTGTCCATCGTTGTGCTATATGCTCCAAGCGTGTTAGCATTAGAGAGGGTAAGTTGATAATTTTAATATTTCGTAGGAACTTTTTTTGTAATGTCGCACCTCTCCTTGACGCAAATTTTATATATCTGCAACTACTGGGTATTAAAACAGCCAGTGAGAGCAGCAGCTGCGGAGACGGAGAACAGCCTCGTCTCAACAGTTCAATGGTACCAGTGTTGCAGAGATATTGAATCCTGGAAAATCGAGAAGATCACTTCGTTGTTGGGTGGAGAAGACGTTATCATGCACTTGGATGAAACTGTGATGCTGAAAAAGAAATACAACCGTGGTCGCCAGCGAGCGAATAATATCTGGGTGATAGGTTTATACGATACTTCCTTACGAAAGGGATTCGTTGAAAGAATAGGAGATAGAAAGGCGACAACGTTAATACCTATTATAACGAGACTCGTCAAACGGGGTTCAATTATACACACGGACGAGTGGAAAGGTTATAATTCGCATTTATAGTCATTTAGATGAATATATATACATATATATACAGAGTGTGGTGCGACTTTCCTATTGACAGTCCGTTGCTGAATTGGGAAATGTTTCTGTCCCATGTTCGTGAAAGATACCCGTTGTAATTGTTTTATCCTATTTTTTATGCATTTTTCTATAAATATACATTACCACTTATCATAAACGCCTCTTTCTTGTGATTGGTCCGTTCAAGGTCGTTTGCTGATTGGTTGTTACTGGTGTCTAAAGTTTAACTCCGCCGGATTTCATCATGAGCTGACAGCATTTGGAGAACCACTGGAAAACCTGGGAGGACTGGACAGCTGTTTCGTCCTAGTTTGTGACTCTGAGGATATATATATATATATCACCTGAGGTAATGGTGTAGTCAGTGGTGAAAGTCTGGAGATGTGATCTGTGGTTACTTCACATTTTTCATGATCCTCCTTGATTTTAACTGTGTAATGATATTGGGATATCAGTTTGACGTCTTATTCTTGAGGCTTATGTAAGTTTTAAGTTAAGTGCATGTTGAATTTCAGCTGTGATTGACGAATTCATTAAAACGCTTTGTTTTTAGCTGTGCAGTCTGCAGTTCTCTGTCATCTGAAGTCCCAAAAGTGATAAACAGGCTTCATCACTAAACTTGAATGTACACACATATTTCATTATGTTGTAGTGAAGTTGTGTCTACACCCTCTACTACTCAATCAAGAAGAAAATAATTAACAGATGAAGCACTAACAAAGCCTTTAATTCTCAATCTAAGATCTGAAATTCTCTACTAATTGCCCTCGTGTTTGCTCTGTTCATTTTTCCCGTGATCAGTTCTTTTCATCGGGAAATTAGTATGTACAAACTGGTTATATTGAAACTAATCTTAATTTTTTTGATCCTTTTCTATCTGAATTTCCTGTAGCTTCTCTTTCAATGCATGGGAATTAGTCAGCCTAGAATTTGACCAATTTCTAAATAAGCGATGATATTTGTGTTATCTTCGATAATTCACATGTCGAAGTGTTCTAATCTGTCATACTTTTCCCACGCTATCTTCGTTGATCCGCTGACTTCGACATCTATTGGTCTTACCATTTTTCTTCTTTTTAACAGGGAAAGGTTGAAATCACAGAAGAAGGCATTAAATTACTTGAAAAATTGACGAAATCATTGAATTCTGCTAACACAACAAATGGTGGATGCCCCATAGCTGAAAGTCCAATGAAAGAAAACATTTCAACGCCAGATGATGGTAAAAGCAATACATCTAAGAAAAGGAAACGTGTAGCTACTCCTTCTCCTGAGAGAGTTAAACAACCCAGTTGAACTTCATTAAAGGGAACGAAGCACAATTGTGAAGGAGATGAACATTCTTCTCAATCTGGTATTACCGTTGGTACTTCTTCGTCAGTGCATATTCCTCCCTTTCATACTGAGCAGCCGATAACATCTGTAAAACAACCCACCAGTGTCAGGTTTCTCGATGCTTTTGAATATGGGGAGGAATGGCTTCCTGGCTTGTTGAAACCAACGAACTTGAAGAACTTCATCAGGTGAATTTGTTATTTCGGTTATATATTTCTAGAAATGCTTTTCATGGCTCACCACGCCAGGTTTCTGACCCATATTTAATATAAAGCGGCTTACTTAACAGTGGTGTTAGACAGAATCCGAATTTCGTTCTTTATACTGTGGAGTGCAGCTGATTTCAGAGTTATGAATTCTGCCTTGCCCTTACGATTCTTGTTTTGATATCCTCGTCCATCCTTTCTACTATAGTTGACACGATGCTGCCCAGATAAGTGAAAAAGAGGCCTCTTTCAAATTTCTTCCGTTGACAGTGATTAATGGTTGTTATTATTGTTGTTGGTTATCGGACATTTTCCTCACTTCCATTTTCTCTGTGCTCACTTGAAGTGTTGTCTCGTGAATCTGAATAGTTCAGTGGTAATGTCTCTGACTGCAGCACTCCACTGAGCGACCTGGCTTGTTGAAGTCTCCCAGAGGGGACGTCGTTAGTTCTTTCAAGATTCCAGATGCGCCTTTCTGGCTGGCGTTAATGCCAACAAGTAAGAAAGCTAGGTTCACACAGAGATTCCTGCCTATTACCTTCAACCATGTAAAAACAACAATTCAAAGTGCGACATAGTAGCTAGCCACCTAGTTTGATGGATGTCGAAGGCTGGATTCATGACGCTAAATACCATCTTGTGTCTAATCGTAATATATTGTGAATGATCTTACGTAATCGAAAGAGCTGACAACTAATTCGTTCATAGTGATGAATAATCATTTGGAAATGCTTATTGATAAAGAACAAGGAGGAACAAATAGACTAAGAATGGCCTCCATGGAGTTTATTATAGAACAAAGTCGTAAAGCTGGTGAAAAGTGGGATGGGTATGTAATCAACAGCAATCAGTAAGGTGTTTCCTCCACTAATCTGACGAGGATGCTGTATCCCCATTGTGACCATGGGCCTTCAAAAGATCAGATTGGAAGAGAGACAGCTATGGCCAAACAAAAACATGGCATCAGTCCATAAAATCTTTCAAAGCTAGTTTGAGATAATGACTTGCCGATCACCACCGCGTACCTCATTAGATCCATTGACGATACAGTTGGCATATGGATGATTTGAAACAGCCACAAAGAGATGCAAAGTTAACTTTCTGTGAGAAACAACCAATCAAA